AAAAAAAAAGACCAGCTTGGTCTACATAGTGAGTTCCAGGCCAGCTGGGACTACGGGAAAACACTGTCTCAAAAAACAAACAAACAAACAACGACAACAACAACAAAAAAACAAAATAGAAAAACAGAAAGATGATAAACTTGAATTTGATTTTCATTCACATTGTGATGGTTATTCTTGATTGCTACCTTAATGGGTGAGGAACAGATACATCTCAGGGCATGTCTATGAGGGGATTTCCAGAGAAGTTCAATTGAGGAGGGAAGACCCACCCTGAATGTGGGTCATGCCATTCCATGGTCTGGGGTCCTGGACTATATAAAAAGGGTAAATGGGGCTGAGTATCAGCATGCATCTCTGCTTACTGAGGTTACAATATGACTAACCATTGGACCCCCCTGCCTTCCCTGTCATGATGGACTGCACCCTCAAAATGTGAGCCAAAATAAACCTTTCTTTAAGTTGCCCTTTTGGGGTATTTTGTCACAATAATGCAAAAATAATCAATACACAGATAAACATATCTATTAACATCCTATCTGTGATGGGATCATCTAGGGCTCCAAGAGCTGAAAAGCTAGACAGATCTTCAAGCCAGGAAAGGCCAGCTCAAAACGTCTAGGGAAAAAAAAAATCAGACAGGTGACATCTGAATTTTCATGTGAAAGCACTTTAAAAAAAAAAGTCAGCCACTGCATTCAGTTAAATCAACAAAAACCCAGGGTGTAGGTCAAAGGAAACATTTTGCTCTGGCTACCTTTTAGATTGGTGAGGCCAAAACTCCTTCAACCATGATATAGTTGAGGAAACGAGACCCTGTAAGAAGACACAGACTGTCAGCAAGGCCATACAGCTGAGGTTTCTCAAAAATTAAAAGTTCGTCTTGGGCTGGTAGTGGGGGCCCATGCCTTTGATCCCAGCACTCCGGAGGGAGAGGCAGGCGGACCTCTATGAGTTCAAGGCCAGCCTGGTCTACATAGTGAGTTCCAGGCCAGCTGGGGCTACAGGAATACCCTGTCTCAAAAAGACCAAAAAACAAAACAAAAACAAACAAACAAACAAACAAAACAACAAATACAAAAGTTCGTCTTGGATGAAAAGCATCCGGAGAGGAGCTGTCCGTGAGCCAGCTGCGGCCTGTTCCATGCACTTTGCAAGGTGTTTTTGCATCCATCAGCTGGTCCAGCTCTGAGAGCAGCTCTAGACACGTTGAGCCATTTTTGGGACACAGATTGTCTCATGTACATTTTCACAGAGGAAGGATATTCTGAAAGGTTTTAAGACTTTTAAGTGGGAAGGCATGAGCAAGAAGAGAAAGGACACAAAAGGAAAAGATGTTTATTGGAGAGTCTAGTGTATGCCATGCGATCGAAAGGTAGGCCCTGTAATTCTCTCCTAGTTCTTTGCATGTTTGAATATTTCTCCTTCTCAAGTTTCAGCTCAAATATCACTTTCTCAGAGCTTTCCTGGCCATCCTCTAGGAAGAGGCCTGCCTCCCATGCCTTCTGGACCTTGCTCCTCTCTAATGCATTAAAATCTTCAATGATCTAACTTTTTAAAGAGCTAGCTCTCCTTATGGAACATGGGGTCCATGAGGGCAGGCACTTTGCATACTGTAGCTGCTCAACAAGTTCAACGTTTATAAATATTTAAGATATACATCCTCGCTGGGTATGGTGGCACACGCCTTTCTTTAATCCCAGCACTCGAGAGGCAGAGGCTGAGGCAGGTGATTCACTATGAGTTCAAGGCTAGCATGGTCTACATATCGAGTTCCAGGCCAACTGGGGAGACCCTGTCTCAAAAAAGACCACCACCACCACCACCAAAAAACAAACAAACATATATATATCCTCCCTGAAAGAGTTCTGATAGTTCTTTACATTTCCTTTGGCCTTCAGTACTATTAACATCATTCTAAAGATGAGGCGGAAATGCATTTCTAGGGAGAAAGAAAGGGTTAGGAGCGGAAAAACTGGTGCGCAGTCGGTGAACTTATGCTTCCATCACTGTAGAACATCTTGCAAACAAATTATCTGAAAACGAACCAAGCCTATTTTTAAAGATTCCTGAGCCTCGCAAGCTCTGGGCGATGACATCAGAGAACCCGGAGTTCCATTCCCTGAGCCAAGCCTCGTGGTCCTCGAAGACTACAAGCCCCAGGATGCAGCGCGGCGCAGGGGCCCAGCGCTCCGCTCTCGGCCCTCGCTCCCGCCGCCGCCCGGAAACCAGGAAGACGCCCGAATTCCCCAGCCCGCCACGCCGTCGAGCGCGCGCGCAGCCTGATGGGATTTGTAGTCCTCGAGCCTGGGAGCGCCCGCTCCGGAATCTCAGTCGCCGTCTGGTGGGGTAGAGCTGGCGCGTGCACGCGTGCGCACTGCGCGGGCGGGCCGTCGTGGGCGCCGCTCCCAGCAGCTGGGTGGCTGTGGGAGCCGGGACCCCGGCGGCGCGGGTGCTCCGGGCCGAGGCCGCGGTAAAGTGAGGCGTGAGGCGGGGGGCGGGGTGGGGGGACCCGGGGCAGAGGCCGGAGGCTGGGGCAGCGCGCGGCGCGCCTCCTCCTTTGGCGTCTGCGGGCGCGCGCGGCACCTGGGCGAGGCCGGCTCACCTGCGCGGGCTCATCGGCGTCCTGCAGCCTCAGTCCGGCCTGGCCAGGCGGGGGAGGCCGGTGGGGACCGGGTGTTCTCCCTTAACCTCGCCTACGCCTGCTTCCTGCCTGTCGGGGTTCCCGGTGGTGACGCTGCAGAACGCGGGCTGCAGGCTGGGCATCCCTGTGTTCGTCCGCCGACCGCAGCCCGCGGACGCACCTGCCCGCCAGCTTTCGCCCCCCCACGACCCCCATATTCCCTCCCTCCCCCCTCCCCCCCTTTCCTCCCTAACCCGGACTTCCACCTTCCCTAACCCCCCCCTCCCCTTCCCCCCACCTCCCTACTTCCCCAAACTCGTACCTCCCCGCCTTCCCTCTCTCCCACCTTCCCTTACCCCCTCCCTCCTCCCTCCCATCTTCCCTCCCCACCTCTCCCCCCTTTTCCCCACTTTCCCTAACCCCTGCCTCCCCTCCTCTCCTCCCTCTTACCTCCCTTACCCAACCCCCCACTTCCTCATCTCCCACCCCCCCCACCTCCCCATCTTTCACCTCACACCGCCATCTCCTAGTCCCCCATCTTCCACCCCCTACTTTCCCACCTCCCCTCCTCCCATTTCCCACTTCCCACCCTGCCCTCCCTCCGACTCTTCCAGCCTTCCACCTTCCCAAATCCCACCTTGCTACCTCCCCTCCTTCCCTGCCTGCCTGCCCGCCCAACCCCGGTGCAAATGGCCTGTGGGGACCTTTGGAACTGGCTTGCCTAAGGTCACTTGAATGGGACCAGGAGGCCACCTGATCTTGGGGCTGGGGACTTGGGGGCCAGCTGCCTACCGACCGCAGCTTCTGGGGGGCCGTCTTGCGGGGTTTGTGGTCGGCTTCAGATGCTTTCTATTGACCCTCCAGGGGAGGAGAAAGTAGCTTTGTCAGAATGAAAGCGGGCTTGTTGCGCATGGTCTTCTCTGTCTTGGCTGGAATCCTGGTCTTGCCCAGACCGCGAAGCAGAGCATAGACCGTGGGCCATGCAAATTATGAAACTCAGAGGCTTTCTATTGGGGGGCGGGTCCCCGAGAACAAGTTTAAGGAGCAGTTTTGGGCACTTGGTGCCATTCACCTTTGCATTCTAACACTTGCTTTCTGTACAATTGATTGTTATCTGTTTTAGTAAGATTTTCTTTGCTTTAATGAAGTTCTTGCCTTTTGTGAATTAGTTTTCTAACTAGAAAAATCTTATTTCCTGTGTGTTTAATGACTCGAAGAAAGAGCGCACTCCTAGGTTTACACCATTGTCTTATCTTAACACTGCAGCACAATCTACTTTGTTTCCCTCAAGTATCCAGCGTCCATGATTTCTATGTGTAATGCCATTGAAAGAATTTACCACAGGGAGTGACCTTTGTGTGACTCAGAAAAGTTTTTGGGGAAAAAAAAGTAAAACCATTTTTTTCTTTACAGCTCGAAGACGCATATTATTTCAAAAATAGTAACATTTACTTTGAATACAGCGCCTCTTAATTTTTCAAATTGACACAACTTATAGCTAAACATATTTCCCCAAGCTTAAATATTCCTTATCTTGACCAACTCTTCCCCAGGAAAGTTGTATTTTAGTCCGTTTTAAAGAAAGAGGACTAAGCCTGGCAGAATTTGAATTAATCATTTATAGTGCTAAACTCTGTGTGCTTATTGACGGATTTCTCCTAAAGAATATATCTGTATCAGGAGACATGGGCATTTGTAATGTGTGGTAAAGGTTCTGTCACCACGCTAGGCATACCTGACATCTGGACTATTTGCTGCCTTCTGTTAACTGCTAGTTCATTGTTGATGGAGTGGAGAGTAGCAGACTTGGATCTTTTTCTTTCTAGTTTTAGTGGCGTAACAAGCTAGGAAAGAGGTGCTGCATAAATTTGGTGTGTATGTGACTGGGTAGCCTGAGAGGGACAGTGGAGCAGGATAAGTACACAATTGTGAGGAAACTGCTGTTAGTTCATAAGCAGGAAGGACCTTTTTAGAAGTATTTAAGGATGTTAAGAATAGCATTGGGTTCTTTTAAACAGTGTCTGTGGGCAGCATTCAAATACGGGATATGATGCTACGGGTGACTCTTAGGAAGATACTTGAGAAGCTGGAAACATTTTACATTTTTGTAGGGACTTTTCTCCCAAAAGCATTTAATAGAACTTAAAAGGTGACCTTTTTTATTAATTGTTTTTATTTATTGAGACCGTGTCCTTGTAGCCCCAGCTGGCCTGGAACGCCCTATGTGTGGACCAGGCTGGTCTCAGTCTCACAGAGGTCTGCCTGCCTCTGTCTCCCCGAGTGTTGGGATTAAAGGTTGAAGGTGTGTGCAGCACACTAGGCCTAAAAAGTGACTTTTTGACCCAAGGCCGGGAATTCTTTACTGCTGTGTCGCTCATCATATTGCAGTTCTCACATTGTTTTTCTATATAATTTGCAGTTCAGAAGGAAATCTAAGAAATAATTATTAGCACAATTTAAGTCAGACTTTGACACTGACACACTCTTGGTGTTAGGCTTACTTATGTCTGTCATGTAAGAATGAGGAGGATGGTTTCTGATTGTAGGTAGTGACTGCTCAGACCTGCCAGTTCTCTGCTTTGATTAGAAAGTTGAAGATCCGGTAACAGTAACTGCGCTAAGCCCATTTGATTCCTGCTGTGAACCGAAGTAATGCACGGATATTAGTTTTTCACATGCTTGAGCAATTTACCTTTTGGCATATTAAGATTTTATTTAAAACTTCAAAAAATTAGGGGCTGGAGAGATGGCTGAGTGGTTAAGAGCACTGACTACTCTTGAGGAGGACCTGGGTTTGAGTCCCAGGACCCAAACGGTGGTTGACAGCTATCTGTAACTCCAGTTCCAGGGAATCCAGAGCCTTCTGACCTTCATGGGCAATGCACACAATTGGTGCATGCAAAACACTCATAAAGTAAAAATTAATTTAAAAAAACAGTAATGTTGGGGTGGAGAGATGGCTCAGCAGTTAAGAGTGTGTGCAGAGGACTTGGGTTTGGTTCCCAGCACCTATATGGTGGCTCACAACTGCCTGCAACTCCAGCTGTAGGGGATCCAATGCTCTCTTCTGGCTTCTTGAGCACCAGGCATGCCTGTGGTGCTCATATGTGTATGCATGTAGTACTCATATGTACATGTAGGTAAACTCAAAAAAAAATGTCTGGGCAGTTTTTATATTAAGCTGCCTTCGAATTGGAATTTTTCTTGAATGTAAAAGACGGTGAGACTCATTTAGGATTCTTCTAAATTTTTAGAGTAAAATATTGTTTCCAAATAGAACGCTCTAAAATTTTTATGTAATTTATTTTTATTTTATGTGTATGTTTTTCTTGTATAAGTGCCTGTGTCATTCACTACCCATGGTGGCCAGAAGAGCGCGTCCGATCCCCTGGAAGCGGGGTTAAGGATTGTTAGCTGCCGAGTGGGTGCTGGGAATGGAACGGAAGAGCAGCCAGTGCTCTTAACTGCTGAACTATCTCTTCAGCACCCCCAGTAGAACTTCTAATCAGACTTCAAATCTGATAGTTTTATTTTCTAAATGTTGTGGTTTTAACCTTTTAGGCAGCCTTGCTTTTTATAGTTCAGCCAGTGTGTCCTGATGTCTGGATTCTTTTTAAGCTCTTTTGAAGGAAGGACAGTTAGCAGCACTGGAACTGGAAGTCTTCTCAGAGGGCGTCTATGCACCATCAAACCTGGTACAGTAAATCCTCCTGAGAATTTCCATGTCAGGTGTTCCTCCTTCCCGTTGTGGGTGGATATGCAAGCCCATATGCCTTCGAACCACCAAGCGGGTTAAGCTTGGTGGCAACATGTGGATGACAATTTTAATTTGCAGCATTCACTGCTTTCAGCTGTGCCTTGAGGATCTCTCCCTTCCAGGTCTCTCCTCCCCTCTCCTCCTCCCCTTTCTGTCTGCCACAGCTATGGAAAACTGCAGTCCGATCTATTTCAATTTAAAGCATCAGTCTCATATTTTCAGTGTGTGATTGGCTGAATCTGTTGACACACAGACTGTACAGACATCAAGGATCAGACAACTGTACAGCCTTTACGCCCTGACCCAGGGTCTGGCCACTTACTCCCTAAAGCTCTTAGGTAGGGAGGGCTGTGGTACACTCCTGTGTTGTCTCTCCTCTACCCCTTTGGGGCTCTGTCTAGACAGGGACTTGTCAGAAGAGGTGTGAAAGAATGCAGGTTATTTCCTATCTGGTTCTCCCAAAGCCCTCTTGATTAATGGTGGCAGGTCATTGATGGCCACAGACAGGCAAACTGGTGTCTCTGGTGAGGTTTTGCTTGGATACTCTTGTGCACAGTTTCTGGGTAAATTTCTGTAGCTAAATCTTGTCCAGTCCCTGCTTCTACCAGCCTAGTCCCTTTATAGAGTGAGTGAGTGAGTGAGTGTGTGTGTGTGTGTGTGTGTGTGTGCGCGCGCGCGCGCGCACGCGCGCTGGGGGGTGGGGGGTGTGTGTCTTTTTTTTTCTTTGCAGACCACTTGAGTCTAGGTATGTCTGCAGTTGCCACTCAATCAACTGGAAACGTCCTTCCTTATGACAAATGGCTCATGGGCTGCTTAAGCCTGCCCCCTTCTGTGTCTAGCCACTTTCATCAGTTCTCACTGTCCACTTGCTCAGAGAGGCAATCTGTCATGAAGTCTGCTGTGTAGGCTGACAATGAACTGGAGAGGATCCAGTCTTCTGTTTTCTAAGCAGTCCAAGTCTTGATGAACAGAGTATCTCAGAGGTGCCTACCACTATTTTGGGGTGAACACCTCCCCTGTTCTCCCTGAAGACAGAACTTTATTTCTTTCCTGTGAATTTCTTCTATTGAAGAAAACGCTGTTAAGGTAGTAG